AGGCCTCGCGTGGGCTGATGCATTAACATTTGTTTATCCTTCTGGTTATGTATGATGGAAGTTACTGCATCAAAGTTTTTTTTATAGCTTCTGCTGACTGTACCTGTTTTAAAATGTGCTATAGTAATCGCTTACCTAGCAGTTTCAGTGGTATCAGTCTAATTGGTCTTTATTTATATATCTGCATAAGTATTTATTCTGTATATCAGTTATATGTCGAAATGAAGTTATGTAACAAAATTCAAAACAGGTTGATTCTAGTGAGCAATTTTTTGCTTCATTGTCTTGTTTTATTGTATATTCTTAATGTTCGGTATCATTGCTGAACAGATCTCGTCCAGCATTTACAAGTTTTTTTTAAACTGTTCTCTTAATACATTCAATCTTTTGCGTTTTACTTTATTGGCAAAGAGAACTTTTTGTGCAAAAAAACAGCAAAAGGTAGCTTCTTTTTATCATGTTTATTAAAGCTGAAAAAAACTTGTTTATTGTATTGTTATTGGTCTTATTCCTGAAAAGGTTCTTCGGCTTTTTGTCTGATGAGAACCGTTCTGACTGGAGATCCCGAATGATGCAAAACATTGTTTCAATGAAGTTATTTTTTGATGAAATGATACCTATAAAATTTCTTGTAATTTGTGATTATCATTTTATAAAAATCACAAATTGCGGCTCCATAATGGACTCGCAGTTTCGTTAATTTCAGTCTATTTTGTTTTGGTGGATGAAAAGAATGGGTTTTTTTTTGAAGTACCCAGATCTGAAAAATTGTATGACTGTTTCATGAAGAGCAGCTGATTTTTGATCAGTCCTCGCACTTATCATTAGGTTTGCAATATTGAATCCTACCTATGAACAGGGAAAATGAGGATGGACAGAGATCGTTTGAGTTCAATGCCCGTATTCCTTCTGTGATCTCGTGGGACCTATTTTGGTTTGTTTTACCATCTTGTCGCCTAGCCTGCAATTCGAGTCTTTGCTTTAATCTTCAGTACATTTACGCTGCGTTTTTCTCCTTCCAAAAGAAATGAACTCTGATGTTTTATTTACGCATTTGTGCCTTTTAGTGACTTCGGTTTATATGCAGGAATGTTACATACAAATTCAGCAACGCTTTTGAATAATTGTTCATAAAGTTGTTGGAGCAGACTGATTTCCTGCTTTCTGCCATAAAATGTTCATATCATTCGTTGTTATGCAGCTTTTTGAAGATACAAAACAGTTTTTGCTTCTGAAACTTGTGCTGAAACTTTGAGTCATTTAGAAAAAGAGATTGTATGCGAAATTGCAAATTGCATAATTTTTCACCTTTTTCAACGCTTAACTAATTACGCTTTAGGCTGCTCCACGCTTGTACATCTGTTTCAAAATGACAGAATAGCGTGTAATCCAGGATCCAGTGGCAGTTACCAGCTTATCATTTATAAAGTATTATCAAACCTGAATTGAGGGCAGAATTTTTTCTCACAGCGAAGCGAGTGATGATTGGGGCAAAGAAAAGGGGTTGCGTCTAGTTACCCACTCTTTCAGATGGGTTTCCTATCGCTGTTGTCTCAAAGCTCTTTATTGGAAATAACACTGCTGTTTTCAAGAATTTCTTATCATTTCTTGTCGGCTTTCTTTTTTTCCTAAATTGATTGCTTTTTGCCAAAGTTTTATTTACACTGTGATTCCTTAGTGTTTTAGCAGCATCGAAGAGTCAAAACTTTGTAGATTTGTAACAGTTCTGAGTTGAGCGCAGGCTCTAGCGACATTTTCCATTTTCTTTTCTCTGTTTTACTTAGTGAAACGGGAGTTAACCATAAGCCGACCTGTTATAAACAAATAAATATAAACATATAAATATGAATATAAATACAAATATAAATATGGGGTAGTGATTTAAACTGACATCTTTGTAAGCAATATTTGATGTCATTGAAATGAGAAATCATTTAAAATACCAAAAATTCAATCAGGAACACGGACTACCAAAGGGTTCTTATCATATATAACAGCAACGAGCTTTGTTAATAAAGATGTTACGAATGTGATTTTATATCGGTCGTACCATATCGGACGTCAGCATTATATCTCTTTTAGGATTCCAACATTTAATTTTAGTTGGAAGATATAAATATAATTTGAAAATTTTTTTTTATTTTAGTTATTTTTATCTCAAGTTTCTTTACAAGAAGGAAGAAAGGGTTGCTATACTATTAATATAGAAGATAAGTTGATCTTGCAAAACTTTGCTGATTTTTTTGAAGAATTTAATAAATGTTGCTGAATACTTTTGATAGAGTAGGATTATTTGCCAAGTACTGCATCTAAAGGAGTGTAAGGTCAAGGATTAGGGAGCAGTGTTATGCATACAGCATTCTGTGTGAATTTAGGTTTTATTTTTTGTTGCAACGTATTGTGGATTTTTTTTGCATGGCGCACAGTAGACTTTTTTTTTGTTGAGCGCCATATTCGTTGCAATACTTTTATTTATGGGTGGTTATTTTTAGAAAAAATTTTAATTAAAACATTAGCAGTTGTTGAGACAGAAATATTGCAGCTTTCTTGTAAATATTCCAAATTTAAATTTTTACTGATTACTCTTGTTAAAAATGAATGAAAATTAATAATACAAGAAATTTTGATGCAAATGAAGGCATTCTTTTTTTTTTCTACAGCAGAATTCACTGGGCAAGTAATTCAAGTAAATCTCTTGCTCAAATGAAGGTTAATAGAGAAAAATTTGGATCCATGGCTGTCTTAAAATTTTGAATGGAACCGTTTTATGTGTACTTTTTGTAAAATTGGTATATACTTCATATTTTAAATTGGCAAAGTCACAAAAAGTTGCATTAACAAAAAAAAGGGAAGCGATACATTGACAAAATTTATTTTACCCAATTTTTAAACGTGTAATCACAGTTTGGTGAAGAGTAAAATAACCCAAATCATTTGGACCAACCGGTCAGTGCATTCAAGGCACTTTTATGAATAACATACTGACGTTCACTGTATTGCGGTCAACGTGGCGACCCTAAACGTTATTTCACTTTTTGTTTCCTTTCGAATGCTGCTCGAAAGTGGGCTACTTTTAAGAGCAGCCGCTGTACAACTTTAGCTTATGCTATTCTATGCCCAGAATTTTAGTGTTTATTGTTTTATTCTTCTGTATCCAATGGAACTGGGATTAGAAAAAACCTAAAAGATTTGGCTGTGAAAGAAATTATTTTCTAAAGGTAGATACTTGATGAATGGCTTTCCAATTTAAGGCTGCCTATTTCAAGCAGCAGCTATAAAACTGCATCTGTACTGGCTTTTTTGTAGGCTACTTACTAGTAGTCCTTTAAAGGAGTAAGTATGAACTGATAAGATCAATTTGGAAAAATATGGT